ATTTTGATCAAAAGACCTAATTTTGATCAAAAGACCTAATTTTGATCAAAAGACCTAATTTTGATCAAAAGACCTAATTTTGATCAAAAGACCTAATTTTCATATCGAATATCGGATTAAAGTCAAAATGCAAAAAAACCCGACTTCAATCCGATATTCACTCATAGAGTTGTGCTTTTGTGGTTAAATGCAAAAAAACCGACTTTAATCCGATATTCTCTTATATAGTCATCTTTTGTCCAAAATTCATTATTTTGATCAAAATTAGGTCTTTTGATCAATTTTAGGTCTTTTGATCATTAGGTCTTATGATCAACTACCCTTGCTAATTGACAGGTCCCCATATTGCACCGGGTGCTGTGGGTAAGGTTCCCTTTTGGGGTCGGAACCCGGGATATCCAGTTGTTTTTTCATGTGATCAAACTGTTCCTGAAGGGACTCCTGTTGCAGATCCCGGTGCTCGCAGTCATCCAACCAGCTATTGGCAAAATAACCACCCAGGTACACTTTACGGGACTCGTCCCAGTTACACTCCCAGCTCAGTTCAGTAGCATTTGATGAGCTAACGGCGTAAATATTTAAATCATTTGGGAGTATTCTGAACATTGACCCTATTGATATATAGTAATTACCTAGTTATTTTACGTAGTTGCACAACAATGGTTTACATACCCGACTCGCACGCCTCCAAATAAAACACTAGTTTTGAAAATCTATTGTTTTGTTGCATATCCTTAAGTGCAAACACCAGGTCCTCCCCGTAAATGTATCCCACTGGGAACGACACGACATCTAAAGTAGTAATAAAATAAGTTTTAAAATTGTAGTTGAACATGTTAATATGAAAGTAAAATAAATATTACTAGGAATTGACTTTAAAACCTAGAGAGAGAGAGAGAGAGAGAGAGAGAGAGAAAGAGAGATTTAATTACAATTATGCTCTCTCTCTCCCTCCCTGGGTCTGACTGGGGTTTAAAGTCAATTTAATATGAATATTATTAATTAAACTTACTAGGAGAACCATGGTCAACAAAATATACAAACACATTATCATTGGGTCCACTATTCACCAAACGTTTACCCTTTTTGACTAATTCCGGGTCCCCTTTAAGTACACCTAAAAAGTTCTGTTTTGTAATAAAAATAGATTTTAAAAATAATTTTTACAAAATTATTATTTATAACAATTTACTTCACGCGTGACTTCATCCCCTTATAGACATCAGTGCCGTTCACTTTGTGTACAACAATACCGGGTGTAGGGTTTAATTCATTGTAAGCCAGGTCGTCGTAGTGCATGACTATTATGTTCTCATCCGGGATACCCTGAGCATGGATTACCTGGTAAGCATGGTACACGTTTGCCTATTCACAAAATAAACAATTTAAAATTTTAAAAATAAATATTTAAGACATTTTTGTAATTTATATATTGGTATTACCTGTATACTATAGCCACCAAGATGGTAACCTTTCCATCCGGCACATAATACTACCCATGTTTTACTAGGTTCATCGGAAAATGGCAGTCCATTTACCGACAAACAAAGTGACCCTAATAATAATAATAATATTTTCATATTGTTTTATAATTATAAAAATAATGTAAAAATGAATTATAAGTATCGAGCTTATATACTGTATGGAAATAAGATAAAATATTAGTGAACTCATGGACAAGTTAAAATTATTAAGAAATTTGATATTAACCTTGATGCTACTTAGACCATCCGCATAGAAAAATACAAAATATACTTTTTGATATGATTTGCCTTGTATAATTGTGTAAATCCCTATGACTCATAGGCTATGAGTACATTTGTAACTAGTTTATATCTTGATATAAAGTCTTCTACGATAAAAAAATTCCCGAAAAAAGCTTAATAAGTTTTTTTGATATGTTCATTAACAATCTAAAATTATGATTTATTGCACTTGATAAAGTTACAATGAAAGAATATAATTTTTTATCGATGTTCACGGTGCACTTAATCACAAGTATCGTACCCATATTTGTTTTATATTAATAAATTGTATTTCCATTGAAAACAGAATTTATTTTCGCATTCAATCGGACTGATGGTAACTGTTGTACTGTAGTATCGGATGAGTCAGTATAGTGTACTATAATCAAGGTTATAATTATATGTTATATCTGATGTTAGAAAGCAAATTGAGGTTTATATATAGGCTAAAAATACTTTATACTTTGTTCGAAAGCAATGACAAATATTTAAATTTTTAGCCTATATATAAACCTCAATTTGCTTTCTAACATCAGATATGTTGCGATGTATATTATTGGAATAGAAACTTACATTTACTTACATTTATGCAAGCATATTTTTATTTTATTATACATTATTTCTAAAGATATTAAATTTAAACAACATGGAGATATTTATAATATTGACTTTTGTTTTGTAAAAATAAATTTTATTTATTAGAAAATTTAGGGGAACCTTTAGATGGATAAACCTCGGTGGTTTAAATACTTTAAATACTGTACAGTATGTGTTTGAATCTTAGTTATTATAATAATTCTATGTAAGTATCGTATAAAACTGTTAACAAAACATTTAGATTAGTAATATACTATCTGGGTTCTTTATTTATTTTATGCAATTATAAAATAATCTAATATTTGATATATTTTTCTTAAATGTTACATCAATAATATTGTACTACTTACTTTTATCAATATTTTTAGTACTTTTACACATTAATTGTACATGAACTTGTCAAAATCATTATTATAATATTGCATTTTCCATGGTTTACATGATCAATACCATACATTAGCAAATTAAAAATATTAATTTCTTATTAATTTAAGAATGCAAGAATTTAATAACATAATATCATTAAATATATTTTTCAAATAGTGATTAATAAATATAAATAAAATATATAAATATAAATACAAAAAATATTGATTATAAAAAATATAAAACTCGGGAATTAACAATCTTATTCAAAAACATAATATTTGGATAATAAAATATAACCTACTAAAATTTCCACTTGTATTTATTAACAGATCAAATTTACTAATTATATGATATACTTTAAA